AAGATAGGCTGGTCGTCGTTGAATTGACGGATTGTCAGGCATGGGGGATTTGGATGGTAAAGCGAACTAACTCCTTCTAAGATTTTAGAAATTTTTTCGTTAAATTCACAATTTTCCATTCTCTTAAGAATTTGCAAAAAAAAAAAAAAAAAAAAAATAAACTCATCTTATTAATTATATATTACAATAAACTAATTTCAAAGTAAACCTTAAGATTATGTGACATATGTTTCAAGCAAATTTATAAATAAAATGATCATTTCAAGAACATAAACTAATGCATGATTGGTCTAGCAACCATTACAAGATCCCTCTCAATGATATAACACCATTAACTTCCTTGAATTATTAATGTAATTTTTTTTTATTATTTTGACTTTTCAAACATAATAAATAAATGCATGTTAGTTGCAATATAAAAATGTCATAAAGCATAAATGTCGTCAAATAAGTTAAACTATAGTCTAAGGAAATATCAAAAGTTGTCCCATCATAATGTCACCTTATCAAATTGAAAATCAATTGCTTATTAAGATGGTTATTCAAGCGTGTCATAGAGAGTGAAAGATGGTTTTCCATCTCACAACAAGTGTTATTCATGAGAAGAGTAAGCCCTTTATCTCTAAGATGTTATAGAGATAAAGTGTTCATGCATGAAAATTAAGGTGGCCCTTATAGAAATGTAAGTGAGTCAAGCCGACTCATGAGCTAATTCGAGCTCGGCTCGATAAGTGGCTCGTGAACTGAGTTCGATGGGCTAACAAGCCAAGTTCAAGCTCTGACTGGACTTGTTAACTTGTTAGTCGGCTTGTTTAAAAAAAAAATTATTAATGTAAAATATACTCAAAATATATTAAATTTGAATTATTTTAAAAATAATATTTTGTATTTTATATTAAGTGACTTATTATTTCTCTTCTAATGACTCATTTTGTTTATCATTTTATTATGACACTATATTAAATTAATACTATTTTCTTTCATTTATAATAAACAAGTCTGCTCATGAGCCGACTCGAACTCGTAGACTTAAGCTCGAGCTCAAGCTCGAACTTGATAAAATTAATCAAGCTCCAGTCAAGGGTGGCTCGAGCTCGACTCGACTTGCTTACATGCTTGGGCCCGCCCACATCCCTTTCCTATTTTTATGATTTTTTTATTCTTTAATTTTGTCATGAAATTATACTTTGGAGGGTCAAATTAGTTTGATAAATTATCTTCATCCTTTATTATTATTATTATTATTATTATTATTATTATTATTATTATTATTATTATTATTATGTTTGGAAAATTGAAATCAATTTGAAGATATGAATATAAAGCCCTAAAGAGCTTTCTCAAGAGCTCTAAGTAGAAAAGAAAGATGAATGATGAAATACAAGCTATATTTGAGATAAGACTTCACATAAGTTTAATTTTAGGGAAATTTACATGCATGTCCCTCAATTCTTACCTATTTATATATTTAACAACTAAAATTTAATATTTACAAATCTAACACTTCGATATCATAACATATGCATAAAAATTTATAATTCACTTTTAAAAAAGTCAGTCATAGCTATATATTTTTTATGTAATATTAAAGAATTAAATGCTATACATATAAATATAAAAATTTAAATATTATATATAAATACATAAAAATTGTATGAAATGTATATAAATGCCTAATTTTATGCGATTTGGAGTTTATAGAATTTTAATGATTATAATATTTATGAATTAGTTTCATAAATTTTATATTGAAGCTTTCCAAATACGTTAAATGTTGACCGAAATTAATTCCAAGTCACCCAAATAAGAAACTAAGAGCATGTGCCAAAAATTCGGAACTGCAAGTCTCAACGCAGAGTAGCAACGACTAGTTGTCAACAAACTATGTTGGAATAATATATGAAAATTTACATACATACCACATAAAAATTTATATTTGCATTTATAACATCTCGGTGTCATAAATCTATGCACGAAAATGTGTCTTTTGCTTTTTAAAAAATAGTGATAATGATATTACAAATTTCGGTGGTATGTGTCAAAATATGAATGTTTTTTGTGTTAGATATGCAAATGATTAAGAATCGTGTGGTTTGCATGTAATTGTGCCAATAATATATTAGTGAAATAGAAAAAAATATTACCTCAGGAGTACTGTCCAATGGGGAGGTGTCACGTGGAATTATGGTGAGACCATTGCATATGTGGCACCTCCTCATTGGAGTATACTGATGCATCAATCTCCTGAAGTAATATTTTTTCGTGAAATAGACTTTTGGTTTTGTTGGATATTATATGGGCGATTACATATATAGCCGTTGAAACATTTTTTTGAGTTAGATATGCAAATGCTTAAGCATTGTGTGGTTTACATTTTATCAACTTTCAATGGTTTGATCGCGGGCCAAAAAAATGAATTGGTATGATACGTAGTTCAAAAAAACTATAAAAGTGATAGTTTTGTAAATAATAACGTTTCAAGAGATACATGTTGTGAGTTATATCAGTTGTTGTGGACTATAAAAATATAAAATAAGAGAATGATTTTTGACGAAGCGAAAAATAGAACGCGAAAATTCACATCAGAAAAACAGTAACACAGCGGAACACACAAATTTACGAGGTTCGGCAAATTTCCTACGTTCACGGAGTTGCGGAGGATTTTACTACTTGAGGAATCTCTCACTCTCACTTCGTTCCTCTCTCTTATTCTCTCTCTTTTACTCTCTCTCTACACCGTTGCTCCATTTTCTTCTCTCTCTCTTCTTCTCTCTCCACACCGAGATACACCGAAGAAGCTCTACACCGAGATACACCGAAGAAGGTAAAATTATAAGAGAAATAAACTCAATTTCTCTTCTGCCACAAGCCACCAAGAAGAAGCTAAGGGAAAATAATCTACTTCTTTCTTCTTCCTTATGTCAAGCACGCACACACTGCTTGCACTTCTCTTCTTCTATCCCGAGGAAGCAATACTGCCGAAGAAGAACTCAAATGGGCTGTCCTAAAAACTCAAGGAGAGCCGCTTCTTTTATCACAAAACCTCAATGAGCGAAGGGATGCTTCGCTTCGCGTTAGAGGAAGGCGGGAACGAATGGCGTCGTTCGCGACTTTCCGCGACACAGAGGGAGAAGCGACGATTCAAGGAAATAGGAGCGGAAGCGAAGGGCAGGAGGCGGGATCAGGATCAGGCTCCAGCACAACAATAGAAACGTAATTATCACATAAATTTGATAATTTTCTTTTCAAATGTGTTAAAGAGATTTGTCATTTTATTTCTTTGCATAATAACAATTTTTTTATGTTGTTCATGTTAACATAAAATTGACACGTGATGATTTTTGTGCTCATTGTTCTCTGTCGGAGACGTAATTATCACATAAATTTAATAATTTTCTTTTCAAATGTGTTAATGAGATTTGTCATTTTATTTCTTTGCATAATAACAATAAGGGCAGGAGGCGGGATCAGGATCAGGCTCCAGCACAACAATAGAAACGTAATTATCACATAAATTTGATAATTTTCTTTTCAAATGTGTTAAAGAGATTTGTCATTTTATTTCTTTGCATAATAACAATTTTTTTATGTTGTTCATGTTAACATAAAATTGACACGTGATGATTTTTGTGCTCATTGTTCTCTGTCGGATGGCTGGCCATCACATAGTCTATAAAGAATATACATTTGAATGCATCGACAAAAGAAAAGAGGGATTATGCATTCTTAATTTCAAGGTGAAACTCTAAATTGGAGATGGACAATTTACATTATTCAATAATGGCAGCTTTAAAATCAAAATCTTATTTGTATATGTTGTGTATTCTAATTTATTTATTGACCTATCATAAATAAAGAAATAAAGGAGCATTTGCATACAACTAAATTCCTGTGCATGACAGAAAGTATAAAAGGTCTAGTCATGACTTCATGACTTATGAACCACATGAAACTATGAACATTTCTTTACCTACCTCCTGCCTCTTTCTGTCAACTCCTTAACAGCGAGCAACGACCGGTTGGTAGCCCTTCCGATTGGCACTCATTGGCCGACGGCCTTCCCAACCAGTCTCTATTAGCCAGACAACGCCCCAACCGACCTCTCTTAGTCAGACGACGCTCCAACTGACCTCTCATAGTTGGCCTACTCTCTCATTGATCGTTCTTAGTCGGACAACGCCCCAACTGGCATCTCGCGGTCAGCTTACGTTCTCGTTGATCCTCTCTTAGTCGGCTGACGCTTTAGCAGATAAGCTTTGAACCCAGCCTTCCATTGGTTGACGATCTCTACAACAACCTCCCATGGCCGGTCGACGCTTCCACAGCCTCCTTTGAACAATCAACTTTCCTACCGGCCCTCATGGTTGATCTCTTCTCCAGCAGCCGCCACTGTAGCTGGCTTCAGCTAGCCTCCCCTGGAAGACAACTTCTCCAACTAGTCTCATCTCACCAATGACTTTTCCGGCCGGCCACCTCCCAGGAACGTGACTCTTCTAGATGAATGCCGGCCGAAAATCAAATACAATAGCTGACAAAGTCTCCAACAATATGCTCCGACGACAAAAGACTGAAATAGCTTGTTCTGTCCTCCATAAATCAAGGGCTAAATTGTAATAATATATCTCCCTACTTCTCCTCCTATAAATAGAAGACCTACCCCTTGGAATGTAAAGGGGCCCTTTTAGGCTATCTCTCTCTCTCCCCTTCATGTAGGGCAGGGCGTCGCTCTCCCTCTCTTTCTCACTCAGAAGCCGGCTCTATTTCATAGACAACGTCCTTGTATTCAGCACTATGTATTTAAGTAT